GCAATTCTGCTGTTGGTTCGAGGTCACGACTATCTGGTCTTGTGTATATGATGCTGTTTGATTGCTGAAGTTCGCTATTGCTCATCTTCCTTGCAGTACTGGTGGTTTGAGGAATCACTGGGACAGGTTAAAACATCATTCCAGGTGCAGGATGCCGCCAGGCTGCCATAGCTCTGAGTCAAGCAATGCTTACTGGAGAGCGCAGGACGTAGCATCCCGCTGCCAGAGCCTTAGGGCGCTGAGGTGGAGGAGGAAGGTGGCAGGAGAAGCGGACATCCTTGGGAGAAGTGGAGGGCCGTAGAGGAGAATTCAAAGGAGTTGGCGAGGGATTTACCTGCTGGTCAGTGGCAGGGTTGTCGGCTGTCGGTCCGGTGGTCCACGGTGTCTTTTACTGTATTATGGTGTAGTATGGGCTAAGAATAGATGATAGAGTAGGTGGTCATATCTGCTCTTTAGAGAGAAGGTCGAAGGGTGGAGAACTGTTGTTGTTGTCGTCGTCGTCGTCGTCGTCGTCGTCGTCGTTGTTGTTGTTGTTGTTGTTGTTGTTGTTGTTGTTGTTGTTGTTGTTGTTGTTGTTGTTGTTGTTGTTGTTGTATTGGTTGTTGGGAGGCGATTCGCGGAAGGGCGCTTGTCATCATCAAAGAGACTGCGAGGCTGTCTGTTATTGTGCTGTTGTGACCATTGCGTTGTCTGCTGCTGCTACTGTCTTCACCCAAATGGAAGGCCCGACCATGATCGCCATATCTGGTATGCTGAAAGTTGTGCCGAATACAGCTATAATGACCTGGTGTTCTAGTCGGGTGTACAGGGGCAGCGGTCTACTTGCCTCTTGGGCGGTGACTTCCTAGGCCGCACGGCTTTCCAGCAACCGGTACCTCCTCCCTTTCGGAGGGAAACATCATTGCAGGCTCTGATATCGTCCGTACAGGCCCTTTGATGACTCAGGCTACTTGGACTGTTACGTGCTCGCCTACCGCTACTGGGCTGGGCCTCTGAAAGTGCCGACTTTTTGTCTTCTTCTGCTTGGCCTCGAGTACCCAACAACTACCACTACTTGAGTGGTACCGGCCTATCTGCTACTTGAGTTTTTTCCCGCGGCTCTTAAGTGTTGCGGGCCTACCCCCGGTACTTGAGTGTTTTTCCCGCCGCAACCCTCAAAGTCACGGCCACGGGTAAGTTCCGGCCCTGGGGGGCCTCCAAACCAACAAGTACCCTTGCGGGTCACACACACACGCAGGCCGACAAGCACTCATACAGGCACGCAGACTCGCAGACCAGCAGGCACGCACACACACAGACTTAGAAATCACAGCAGAATGCGGGAATCTCAGCAAGGCATACATTCCAGCGGCAAATCCCAGAAATCAG